TTCTCGCTCTGCCAATCGTAAATGCAATTATCTTTTTTCAGATAAGATGATTTTTAAATTTTGCGGAATTTGGAGGGGATGAAACCTAATAGGTATAACTGATGTAGAGATATGTGAAAGTTTGCATTTTGAGGATTTCTTATATTCGTTTTAAAAAGTTGTACAGTTATTACGAATATTTTTTTTGTTCAATAATCCTCTCTATATATAATTTCTGAATGCACTCTGCTTCTGGTGATTCGGAATCCTATTTGGTGAAGAATTATGATTCGTAATTAGGTTTGGACAAATAATATTAATATATTAATAATTAATAATCTAGGTTTGGGTATTCCATAAATATTATTTAGCTAACTTAGGTATTTTAATATCACTTTTACTAATATAATTCTTTAATTCTTTGTAATTTTACAAAATGAGGCACTAAGTGATTAATATATCCCTAAATTTTGATTTGCTTCTTTCAATAAGCTATTGAATTATAAATGTATTTTAAAAGTAGATAATTTTTGTATTTCTTATCGGTTTTACATATATAATATATCAAATTAATCATCTTATGATGATCTTCGATTTGACATCCATATTGTATATATAACATAAATAAATTATATTTATCTTTATAATAACAAAAAATAATAATATTTATTAAAATTCATTAGAAAAATAAAATTATTTCTCAATTGATATATTTATATTTAATGTGGTTATATATTGTAAGTTAAAAAATTAGTATAATATAACACAAGTAAGTCGCACAAATAAAAAGTATCATAATAAATATATAATAATATATATATTCTTATAAAAGATATTTAAATTTTCAAACTACTTTTTCTCATTAATTTTAAATTTTAAAAAAAAAATTAGCAAGCACCCGTGTAATACACGGGTGTTGTACTAGTAACCTCATTAATGAGAATAGAGATGAATGTTTTGAGAAAAAATAAAGAGTGAATATGAAAAAAACGTAGTGTATTTAATAGCTAGATAAAGGTAATAATAGAAAAATATATACAAAATATACAACACGAACATTTATATTGTTAATAGTTGTTAATGCAAAAATCTCCTCTTTTTCAGCTTGATTTCTTCATATGTTGCTGCAACGTGAAGTTCTCAACAGTGTAGGATGTTGGTTTCTTATATCTATTACGTATTAATCACTGCTTACTCACCCCCATTAATCACATTGCCTAATAAGTAATAATCTTTTGTATCTCAAATTTATCCACTTCAGTACCTCCTTTCATCAATTATTTACCACTATATTATGTTGTACCAACCATGGAATTTGTATAATAGATGTGTATGATCTTCTTAGAATAAATAAATAGGTTATTTGAGTTTTGGTTACACACACCTTATTCTATTATCTCATATCTTAGAAAAAAAACTCTTTAATTAAGGAAAATCTTAATTTATGGATTATTTAATCCTAATTGTAAATTTAACGTTGCGGTTGGCGGTGCCCGGAGACGTAGGCAATATTTGCTGAACTTCGTTATCAATTTTTTGTGGTTTTTTTTTTTCTTTCTTGTCTTTTATTTTTTTACGTTGGCTTATTTTTGGTAGGACTTGTGCTTGTTATATTTATGGGTCAAAATCGTTTTCACCCCATTATATATCTATTCTTTCTTTTACACACCACTCCGTCAAATAACTTCTTTTACACGCCAAAATTCACGAAATGCTATGCGATATTACACTCGCATGTCCAAATGAACCAGCGCATATCCAATCGGCCGCATAATTTATGACTTTGCGTAAACATTTCGCATTTTTTTAATTGCATATCCACATCAAACGCATAATTTACAAATGTGCGAACATCTTTCACATTTTTAATAATAGCATATACAAATCGAATGCAACATAGGTTGGTGATAAGAAAGGATGGATCTTCCCCGGTTCTCTTATGATATTTCGAAAAAAAACGATGATTATGCGCATTCTTTTCGCAGGGTTATATCAACCTAGCAAATTTATGACTGCGAAAATATTTCGCATCTAATTCGCATAGTTTGTTGAATACGCATTTTTTGGTAATTGCATATCCAAGTCAATCGCATAATTTACTAATATGCGAAACAATTTCGCATATATTCTCCGGATAATTGACAATTATGCGACATTTTTTCGCTCGCATATTTAAGAATCGCATAACCAATCGAATAAAGCATAATTTTTTTGACGATTATGAGCCATTTTTTCGCAGAGCCATATCGACCTGGCAATTTTACGACTATCTAGAATTCATACGCAGATCTTTCGCATAAGTTGCGCACCTCATTAATTGACTGTTTTTTCAAAGGTGAGGATTTGGTCTCTACATTTATGATGCAGGCAAAAAAAACAATGATCTCTAACAATTTAACGTCTGCACAATTCATCTATTGCATTTTTCTATTTTTTTTTGGTTATTTTTGTTGTTCACTTATTTGAATGGCTAGCAACGTGTTAGTGTATTAGTGCACTTTGGTGGTTCGTTTTGCGAGGGTTCGTATCTTGGTGGAGTGGCAGAGCTGATGAGAATAAATTACGGCCGTCAAATATATTCTGAAGTAGTTTCTCGTGCTCACGCATTATTGAAGGCCTATCCTTGTAATTTTGAGTACATATTGTGGGCAGTATTTGATGGAAGGGAACGAGTTGTAAAGATAAAAATCGAATCCAGTGAGGATATCTTAGAGCTGATTGAAGAAAAAATAAATCCCAACATTTACGTGGAGTTGGAGAAGCGAGTAAATGTAGGGATTACGGGGACGGCGCAACAAAGCTTCACACAAATGATGGCGTCCCAAGGTGTATTTCCGAGTTCTTTTGGTGTTGGTAGTTCTGCATTTTTCCACGAGGCCCCATATTCACATCAAGCAGGCCCTAGTTCATTTACACATACTGGATATCCTCGGGGCGCTGATGATCAAACCTCGGGTTTTTCGAACCAACCAAGTCATTCTCGTGACGATGACAATAATGATGATCAGACCAACACGCACAATGGTGACTCAGGCGACGAAGACAAAGAGGTCAATGAGAAGTAAATGTTCGTAATCCAGGTACAATTGTCGAAATCGGAATTGGGTTGACCTGCACACATCACACATGTCCCGTAATAATCGCACAATTGAATTGATTGTGCGATTCGCATAACATGTCACATAATAATCACAAAATTAGGTTGATTGTGCGATTCGCATAACATGTAACATAATAATCGCACAATTAGTTTGATTTTGCGATTTCATATCCCAAAATAATCGCGCAACTGGGATGATTCGCCTAGTCTTCAACCGCATAATTGACGAATCATATATCCAAATCGAAAGCCTCATAATTTACGACTATCCGCTATTTTTTCCGAAAGTGCTTCGCATATTATTCGCATAAGTTACGCACCGCATTGATTGATTGTCTGTACCGCATATCCAAATCGAAAATGCTTCGCATATTGTTTGCATAAGTTACACACCGCGTTGATTGATTGTCTGCTTTTACA